CAAACTGTATAAACTGTATAGTCACATAAGTTAATGAACATTTACTCTGTAAAGAAAATAAGTCGATTCTATAAATTCTGGCCTTAGAGGATATGATGCAATCTCAACATTTCTTAGATAAAAGTTGAATCGTTCTGGCAGTGCTCGATATTTTCTCCAAATATTGTAGTAGAGTAGGTGTGATTTAATGGCATTATCCAGATCACCAGCAAGAACCTATATAAACGAAAACATAACTATTGAAAATATCAAAAAATGAAATAACCTATATTATAACTTGGTTTTACCTGTAAGCCAGGAAAATAAGCAGATAAACTATCCACCCAGGCAGACATCAGCCCTCCATTCAATATATTCACATTTCTATATAAATATCCAGTTTCGTCACGAACATGCCTGAGAACTGCGGAATATGCTTCATTAAAAATATGTAAATATTCGCTTTCTCCAAAAAGCACATAAGCTTTTAGTAAATATTCATAAAATGAATCAATTCCAGCCCCAGTGCTAGCAGCAGTGTGAATCCATTGACCAGTCTGAATATTTATAACGTTTCCAACAAGATCTAGATCTGTTCGTCTGTTCCAAATACTAAATAACGCGCGACGTGCCACATTCTATGAATGAAAGTGTATTTCAAAATTTCGTAGCATAAAACGCGTAAAATGCAATTATAAAATAATATACCTCGAACTTTGTATCATTCACAAGCCTGCTGAGGACACCAAATTCTAAAATTAGGGTTCCAGCACCAGCAGTACATGTTTCGTGCGTTTCGCTTTTGGGTACACCATATTTCAAATTAACCTTATTTTATCAAATATTATAGTTAAATATGGCATCTTATAACTAAATATTTATCATACTTATTATACCCACTCTTGGATAAGGAATCCCTGTTTTTGAATTTTGAAAGGCCGGTAATAACCTTTGGCCTAAATCATAAGCCAACTCTAATAATTCATTATTGTATCCATCAATTTTAAACCCAAAGCGTGGATCTGTTGCAAACAAATGAGCAGATAACTAATCCGGCCAAATTAAATTGAAATATAAATAAACTGCACAGGCCATTTTTTTTCAAAAAAAGGAATAAAAATGAATTAAGTACCAATGCTCCCAATATACGAATATTTGCTTCAAATACTTGTACTTTACTATTTACATTAAATGAAACATGCTTGATGACGTTGCGAATGGCAGTTTCGAACCCCGCCTTATCATTAAAAACCTATATAAACATTAATCATTTAATATTCAATACATATCTAAAAATATAGCTAATCTTATTTTTGATAATCCATACTACGAAAGAATCGAGTGAATCGACTAGCGTTAATGAGTAATCGCCGAGGACGTCATTTATAATTATATTATTTCTGCAATTAAAAACAAAAAGTCAAAATGAATCAATATAATAATCAAAACTAGAATTCATGAAAGGAAAAAGATTGTAATGTCTTACGGGTTGTTTTTATCACTTCCTCTCCCAGAACAATTTAAGGGATTCAACTATATAAGAAAAATGTTAGAATAGTTGACAAAACATAGTTATTATAAACTTAGGACTTTTTACCTCATCTTTTGGAAAAGCGTGATTCATATATTTATTGAATCCATGATAAAACATTTCCTATAAACGTGCGAACTATTAAGCCAGAAACCTAGTGTAGTCATTCTCTTTATAATTTTCTGGCAGACTCACCGATAAGATGAATTTTTAATACCTTGGCTTCACCCCTAAAAATTTTGATTCGTTATATAAAGCACATTATTTTCGAAAAACCGAAGACGAATACAAGTCTTGACATACATTAGCTCCAATCTTCTTTGGTCTGTCATTGACGCTACTTGCATTGCTAATAATGTTTGTGTTATTGAGGTGATTGAAAAGCCCCATGTCCAAATGAGTCCAAAAAAAGTACAGGAAATTGTACGTAAACGCATATCATAAAGCAAGAGAAAAAAAGAACTGTAGTTTTCATCCAACCAATTGCTTTAATTGTGAAGCAATAATTGATAAACCGGATAAACGATTAATCCGTGACTAAAGATAAACCGTAAAATTATTTTTGCATGACGAACTTGTAAATAATCTACATTCTTAGGGGTCAGTAAATTGCATTCTTGATATCTATATAATCAACTAACCTAAATGCATCAAAAAGGTAACTCTAAACCTCGCTCCGGTATATTTACCCTAGAAGCGTTAATTTCATTAGGAATGATTCTTGGAATAATTCAGCATTTAGTCCTGAAGGCTGAAGCATTAAATGCAATAGAAGAAAACGTTCTGGACGACGCCCCGATATCATGTTTGTAATGATTGATAGAGGGAAAAATATGAACTTATGTATACAGAGTGCTCGCGTATAACAGAAGATAAAAGACGATGCAGTAAAATTATGGCGCAAGACTAACACCTGAAAAGGATGAATTTGGAGTAATTGGATTGCAAGTTGCTGGACTATGTTACGACTAACTGTTCTTATTAGGGATGGAGCTAATGTAGATCGATATTATCATTTACATGAGTCAAAAGTTTCTGTACAAAAGTCGGAACCAGCTGTTGTAGCGAAATTTATAGAGACTTTATTAATCTTACGTAATATTTTGATAGTCAATATGTCTTTACTCTCGCATAGGTCTACATCTAGATCAGATAGAAAGAAATCTGTGAATTAGTAAAATCCTCTACGTAGATCACATGAGGGTGAAATTCGCTTTTGCATAATAAAAAACATAGCTAACCGCGGATTTCCTAAAAATATTAATCCATATTTGACTTGTACGTACGTAACATGTTTTTTATATTAATAAACTACCCAAGTGACATCTACTACGTATAATTGCTTTTTTTGTGTGGGATATGCATCAGATAATCAAACTTAGCAAATTTTTGCTAATGGGCTACGTATTACGTAGAAAAAACATGTGAATTTTTAATAAATTTAAATTAGCTTAATTGATGATTCGCCACTCAACAGGAGAATGACCTTAGTGTAATGTGACGCGGATTATTATATAAATTATATATACCCAGAATCTGGCGTTCGTCCAAGGAAAACTTTTTTCTTACTAAGTTAATCGCTCTTCTTACTTAGGAGACAATTGTCGAGCTCATCGAGACGAATCTAACAGTGGTAAGATCATTAAAATCGGTTCAGTGGTTGCTGAGATATCGCTAAAAAACGATTGGCCGACTATGTAAAATTCTACATAAATATACTATTACTTATATAGAAATTTTATAGAAATTTTACATAGTCGGTCAATCGTTTTTAGCGATATCTCGGCAACTACTGAACTGATTTTGATGATCTTACTACCGTTAGATTCGTTTCGATGAGCTCAACAATTGTCTCCTAAGTAAGAAGAATGATTAACTTAGTAAAAAAAAATTTTTCTTGGACGAATGTCAGATTCTAGGTATATGTAATTTATATAGTAATTCATGTCATGTTACACTAAGATCATTCTCCTGTTGAGTGACGAATCATCAATTAATAAAACAAAACAAATAAATATCAAAAACAGTAGTCTAAATTATACAGTACATGTCACTAAAATAGATTTTTAAAAAAATCTTATTTAGGATCTTTGCTATGAATTTTTTTTACTAAAAATAGATTTATTATGATTTTCCTAATTAAAAATCTTGTGTAACAATGGCTCGGAGGGTCATTTTGTTAGCAAAGCTCCCATTTCATCTTCATTAGAGCAAATTAGAATTTTTTATATACAAGAGCAAATCTAATTTAAACAGTTATGTTTTTTATAATTTCATTTTTTCAAAAAAAGTATTAAAAAATTTTGTCTTTTAAATAAAATAGATCAAAACAATTTTGTCTTTAAATTTTAATTTTAGATTTTTTTTTTTTAAATATTAAGATGATCACTTGGGGGTCTGACACAGTTTATTAACTTCTGGTTCAAATCTCAAAGTTACTGAATAGGTAACCTCTTGACTTTGTTATATCAATAAAAGTACAATTGGCCATATATACAACTTTAGCCATTGTCTAATTAAGAGCTTTGCTATATCTATTTTTATCTATAGTTATCTATCAATTGCCATATCTAAGATCTGCTTGTGGATTCCCTATTTAAATTCTCTAATCGACTTAACATTATTAGATATTTTTTCCAAAAAATTTCTGTCGAAAGGTCTCTTAGAACTACTTTATCCTCATGGTAAACTTAGAGCAGTATCATTTATCACCTGATGTTTTTTTTATCAGAGGCTTACCCTCTCTTCTTTTTACTTTTTTTTATAATTCAGCAATCTGCCTTTGTTTATTTGAGATTAAAACTATTTAAAAAATTACATGAATTTCTATCTATAGCTATGCTAATCTAACCAAACAAAAGGCTCACCAAGCTTAAGCCCGATGCGACCTGCCTCAGTAGCCATTGGCCTCCTTTGGGGTCCCTAACTTTCTAGAGACTTTTGTCCCTTTAGTCATTAGCTGGTGGCTACGTGCCTTGTTAATACTGCCTTACTTCATTGAATTTGGACTTACTTTGCATCTTGTTAGCGATGACCAATTCGGTCTTGATCCATACCGAACTAGATTTTTGATATTTCTAAATGCCACCCCTTTATAGTCTTCTTTTCTTTTTCTATTTGAGTCTAGGATGTTTTCTTTGTCCGTGTGAGTTCTTTTGGCTTTACTTCTCTTTTGGGTCCTTTTGTCTTTCTTTAAGATTTCTCTTGCCTTTTCCTATTCATTCTGTATTTCACATCTAAGGTTTCAAATGTGTTGACGGAATCTCTCTCCGAACTTGTTTAGTGTGTTGTCTATCATCTTTTTGCTATAATCTTTCCTTGTACAAGTCTTTCGATGCTTGTTTTTCTTTTATCTTGTATTAGGCCTTTTATTATGTAATTTCTTGTTTCTATTTTTTTTGGGTCTTCTGTGCCGAATATACTTTTTTTGACTTCATTTGCTTCTAGGTCTAGGCCTGTATCATTTTCTTTTTTAAGTATTTTGATTGCATCTTCGGCAACCTCTTTTTCTATTATACTTCATATCTTTTGGAATTCTTTGTATATTGCTAGATGATTTATCGTTTTGGGTTCCGTATGGCATATTATACACTTATTCATCCTATATAAGTCTGGTCTTCTTGTTTTTAATTTTGATATTATTGGCAGTGACTCATTAAGACATTTAACTCTAAAAATCTATCTACTATTATTTCTACTATCTAGACAGTTATTACCCTTCACTCCTTCTATATATTTTCATGTTTCCCTCCAATCTACCTTGTCCTCCTCTTCTTTTTCTATCCAAGTTTCTATTCTCTTTAGACCTGCTTATTCTGCGTCTAATAATGACGTTGTGACTTGATTCACAAATTTTCGTATTGAGTTATCAATTGTCATTTCATTCCATCTTGGTACTACTCGCATGTGTTCATTCCAGGGTGCTTGAACTTCTATAAACTTGTTTACTATAGTACCTTCTCTTGCTAGTCTATCTGCTTCTTCATTTCTCTCGACTCCGCTATGACCTTTGACCTTGTGCATCTTTAGTTTGATTTTCTTAATTCTTCTTATTCTTTCTATTTGCCAGATTAAGCTTCTGTTTTTGGCCTTGAGGTAGCTTCTTATTTTGTTCATTTCTTCTAGGCTTTTAATCGTTTGGATCGCTACTTGCCTATCTGTGTTAACCTGTAGATCTGCTTCTTCCAGGACCACCAATAAGACCGTTAGGATTGCGCTAAGTTTTGCTCTTGTTGATGATGGTCAACCTATCATCACATATTTGATCTGTACTTTCATTTCAGTTTCTTCTTCTACTTTTGCTGATAGTATCCAATTTATTCCCATTCGTATCTCTTCTTAGCTCTGTTAGTAACCCATCTGTATAGGCTATGAACTTCTTGATTCTTGCAACCTTTCTTGCTACACTCTTGAGTTCCTTGATAGCTACTTCTCCTTTTATGCACTGGTGGATTATTTTTTTGTATAAGGGTTTTATATTGATCATTATTCTTTGTTAGCTAGTTCTTGCTTGTTATTCTTCTTGCATTGCTATCTCAGTCTTACCAATTATATTTTTCTATGGTGCTATTATTTCAGCTTTTGTTTGTTCATTGACTTTGACCCTTCTTACTATATGCTTATCTACTACTTTTCTTGTTTCTTTGAATTGTTTCTCGATGATACATGTCTCGGTTTTGGCTATTGTTATGTTATCTAGACACCCTTCACAAGATTCTATAATCACTTTTCCCTCTTCTAGATGGTCTTGCTTATACTAGTATTCTATTTCAAACTTCTTGTCATCATACTTATGAATTATTTTGCCTATCTCCACTTTCTCATTTCTTTTGCCAAATACTATCTATTCTTTTTGTCTTCTGTTATTGCTAATATCTTGCAACTTTATTTGAATGAAATTATAGTTTTTTGGGCTTTTTTTGAACTCTTCTTTAACCTCTCTGCTCATTCTGTCTATAATTACTAGTTTTTCTATTGTTTGGAACCATGTTGCTTTTCTGCCTCTTGTGCTACGGTTTCTTAGCTTCTTTATTTGTTTTCATGTAAGCAATAATGCTCCTTTACTATCTAGTATTTGTTCAAGTGTGAAGATGTTTATCACTTTTTCTTGTCCAAAGCTTGGTCTGTGCTTTTTTTTGAGCAGGTTCATGATTTCAGTTCCTTCTTTATATAGCTGTAGGTCTTCTTCTAATTCTTCAGACCTGATATCTATTTTAAGTTTCTTCGCTTCTTTTATAATTTTAAAATACAAATTATTCCTAATGTTGATTCGCTCTAGCTTTTGTATGCTAAGACCTAGTATAAATCTTCCACTTTTTATATTTAGTTGGGTCTATCTTAATCTCATCCATGTTGCTTTACCTATATCTTGTCTATTGTTAAGTCTTGCTATAAGTTCTGTAACATGATGTACAATTTGGTTCTGCTATATAGTTTTAATACCAACTATATTCTGATATATTATTGCTACGTTTGGCATCGTGTGTATTATTCTTGTCTTGTTCTTGATCAACATGAAGAGTGGGCTTTGTAGTTTATCGTATACTTCTTTTGACAGTATATATTGTTGAGCTCTGTATTCTACTCTTGGTATTAGTACTCTGTTGTTAATATACTGCATATATGCTAGTAATATTTTCTTTTTCTTAAGACTTTTTACTACCGTCTGTACTTCTTTCCTTATGACTCCTTTTATGTGCTTTTGTTTGGTCTTCTCTGATACCCATATTTCTAGATATCTTGTCAATTCTTCTGATCTTTTTCTTGTGACCATTTCTTCTTTTGGGCCAAATTTTATTCCTTTATCTGCATCAGCCTTGTCTTTGGGATATATTATTAATAGTTCTGATTTCTTCGTATTAATCTCGATATCATTAATTACGAAGAATTCTTTCGCTATGTATATAATTTTTTCTATTTCTTTGCGGCTTCTTATTATATATATCGTATCATCTGCATATGCTAGCACAAGGATCTTTATGCTTTGTTTTTCAACTTCGTTGTACTTGATATTCTTAGGCCATGCTATTTCCATTTCATAGACTACTTCTTTTGCCTCTTGTATTTGGACCAGTAGAGGGTTATAGAAAATTTTCTATATTAGTGGTGAGATAATCTCCCCTTGATCTATACCATCTTTAGCTGTAAATTTTTGAGTAACTCCTACTCCTGTAATTACTTCTATTTCTCTATTCTCGTATAGGTTGATTATAAAGTCTTTTGTATTTCTAGAAAGCTTAATCCTTTCTAGTGCTAGTTTGAGCATTTCTATGCTTACTGAGTCAAATGCTTTTTTCATATCTTGGAATAGCAGCCATAGCTCCTTTCTATTTTCTCTTGCGTCTTTTGTGATGCTGTTCAAGATATAAATTGGTCCTGCTGTGCCTTCCTCTGGTAAACCTGTATAATTTCTTCTTTCGAGGACTTCTTTTTCTTTTAATATTCTTCCTAGTCTGTTGTTTAAAATTCTTACTACTGATTTTCTAAATGTTTCTAGTAGTAGAATTGGTCTGATATTGTTGAGATTATAGTTCCAGTTCTCTTGCTTGGGTATTGGATATAGTATTTCTAACTTCTACTTTTTTGGTATTGATCCCAATTTTAAGCACCTGCTTGCCAAGATTCTAAAGATTAGTGGGTATGTTATACCTGTTGGACCTGGTGCTGATGTGTTCTTGGTTTGTGCCAATACTTTTACCTATTTTGCATTTAAAACCTCTGTGTCAATCTCATTGTACCAATAAGCTTGTATCTTCTTTATTAGTTTGTATCTTTTTTTCCATTTTGCCAGCAGTTTGTTTGTTTTGATATTTTTCTTTCTAAACTGGTTCATGAAATGATTTTTAACTTCTGCTAGAACTTCATTTGCTTCGTTAAAGAGTTCTTTCTCAGTTTCTTCTTGCATTGCTATCTCAGTCTTACCAATTATATTTTTCTATGGTGCTATTATTTCAGCTTTTGTTTGTTCATTGACTTTGACCCTTCTTACTATATGCTTATCTACTACTTTTCTTGTTTCTTTGAATTGTTTCTCGATGATACATGTCTCGGTTTTGGCTATTGTTATGTTATCTAGACACCCTTCACAAGATTCTATAATCACTTTTCCCTCTTCTAGATGGTCTTGCTTATACTAGTATTCTATTTCAAACTTCTTGTCATCATACTTATGAATTATTTTGCCTATCTCCACTTTCTCATTTCTTTTGCCAAATACTATCTATTCTTTTTGTCTTCTGTTATTGCTAATATCTTGCAACTTTATTTGAATGAAATTATAGTTTTTTGGGCTTTTTTTGAACTCTTCTTTAACCTCTCTGCTCATTCTGTCTATAATTACTAGTTTTTCTATTGTTTGGAACCATGTTGCTTTTCTGCCTCTTGTGCTACGGTTTCTTAGCTTCTTTATTTGTTTTCATGTAAGCAATAATGCTCCTTTACTATCTAGTATTTGTTCAAGTGTGAAGATGTTTATCACTTTTTCTTGTCCAAAGCTTGGTCTGTGCTTTTTTTTGAGCAGGTTCATGATTTCAGTTCCTTCTTTATATAGCTGTAGGTCTTCTTCTAATTCTTCAGACCTGATATCTATTTTAAGTTTCTTCGCTTCTTTTATAATTTTAAAATACAAATTATTCCTAATGTTGATTCGCTCTAGCTTTTGTATGCTAAGACCTAGTATAAATCTTCCACTTTTTATATTTAGTTGGGTCTATCTTAATCTCATCCATGTTGCTTTACCTATATCTTGTCTATTGTTAAGTCTTGCTATAAGTTCTGTAACATGATGTACAATTTGGTTCTGCTATATAGTTTTAATACCAACTATATTCTGATATATTATTGCTACGTTTGGCATCGTGTGTATTATTCTTGTCTTGTTCTTGATCAACATGAAGAGTGGGCTTTGTAGTTTATCGTATACTTCTTTTGACAGTATATATTGTTGAGCTCTGTATTCTACTCTTGGTATTAGTACTCTGTTGTTAATATACTGCATATATGCTAGTAATATTTTCTTTTTCTTAAGACTTTTTACTACCGTCTGTACTTCTTTCCTTATGACTCCTTTTATGTGCTTTTGTTTGGTCTTCTCTGATACCCATATTTCTAGATATCTTGTCAATTCTTCTGATCTTTTTCTTGTGACCATTTCTTCTTTTGGGCCAAATTTTATTCCTTTATCTGCATCAGCCTTGTCTTTGGGATATATTATTAATAGTTCTGATTTCTTCGTATTAATCTCGATATCATTAATTACGAAGAATTCTTTCGCTATGTATATAATTTTTTCTATTTCTTTGCGGCTTCTTATTATATATATCGTATCATCTGCATATGCTAGCACAAGGATCTTTATGCTTTGTTTTTCAACTTCGTTGTACTTGATATTCTTAGGCCATGCTATTTCCATTTCATAGACTACTTCTTTTGCCTCTTGTATTTGGACCAGTAGAGGGTTATAGAAAATTTTCTATATTAGTGGTGAGATAATCTCCCCTTGATCTATACCATCTTTAGCTGTAAATTTTTGAGTAACTCCTACTCCTGTAATTACTTCTATTTCTCTATTCTCGTATAGGTTGATTATAAAGTCTTTTGTATTTCTAGAAAGCTTAATCCTTTCTAGTGCTAGTTTGAGCATTTCTATGCTTACTGAGTCAAATGCTTTTTTCATATCTTGGAATAGCAGCCATAGCTCCTTTCTATTTTCTCTTGCGTCTTTTGTGATGCTGTTCAAGATATAAATTGGTCCTGCTGTGCCTTCCTCTGGTAAACCTGTATAATTTCTTCTTTCGAGGACTTCTTTTTCTTTTAATATTCTTCCTAGTCTGTTGTTTAAAATTCTTACTACTGATTTTCTAAATGTTTCTAGTAGTAGAATTGGTCTGATATTGTTGAGATTATAGTTCCAGTTCTCTTGCTTGGGTATTGGATATAGTATTTCTAACTTCTACTTTTTTGGTATTGATCCCAATTTTAAGCACCTGCTTGCCAAGATTCTAAAGATTAGTGGGTATGTTATACCTGTTGGACCTGGTGCTGATGTGTTCTTGGTTTGTGCCAATACTTTTACCTATTTTGCATTTAAAACCTCTGTGTCAATCTCATTGTACCAATAAGCTTGTATCTTCTTTATTAGTTTGTATCTTTTTTTCCATTTTGCCAGCAGTTTGTTTGTTTTGATATTTTTCTTTCTAAACTGGTTCATGAAATGATTTTTAACTTCTGCTAGAACTTCATTTGCTTCGTTAAAGAGTTCTTTCTCAGTTTCTTCTTCATCCTCTTTTATTACTTTATTGATTCTGATATTATTATGAAGCCTGTCCAATATACTATCGATTATTTTCCTTTGATTTTTTACTATCATTTCATATCTTTTTTCTATATAATCTCTAATTCTTTTTTCCTCTTTCATTTGTTTTTTGGCTTGCTATTTCTTATACAGCAGTTTCCACCATATTTCTATATCTTTGGTAATTATTAGATCTGTTATATCTTCTAGATCCTATTTTCTTTTAATTGTTCTAATGAATGTGTTTAAATCTACCTTTTCCTTATCTGACAAGTCTGTATAGCCTTTTCTTTTTATTTTTCTGTACCATTTACCCAGTTTTTTTGTATCTTGTTTAAGCTTGTTAGTTGTGATGCTACATCTCTCTGCTGGTACAAGTTCAGCCATTTTCTTTTTTTGAGGAAGTGTTCTTATTGCTATTGTTCTAATGGCTTATTTGATTATATCCCATATTTGGTCTATATTAAGTTTTTCGAACTCTTCTATCTATTGTGGTATACTACCTCTTCTGAGAGTTATGTCAAAACTTAGCTTTTCTCTTTTTTTGTTTCTTCTATTTAACCTTTTTATCTGTTTTTTGATTTCCTCTTCAAGCTTCGTTTCATATTCTTCCCAGTCTTCTGTAGTGGCTTTTTCTAGCTCGAGATTTAATCGTTTTCTTTCTATCTTCTTTATTCTTGCTTTGTTTTTTTTCCTTAGATCTATACCTGATTCTATTTTGAGGATAGCTGCCTTGTGGTTGCTCTCTGTTATAAAAGTCATATCTTGTATCTTGTCTCGAAGTATGCTTCCTGCCCAGTATCTATCCACCCATAT